AAAATAAAAAAAATAATGTGATTAAAAAAATTAAAAAATTACTTTTAACTTGTCAAAATGACCCAAAATAACTAAAGTAGTTAATATTTCTTTTGTTTTAAAATATTAGTATGTTATTCTTTTTTTATTATTTCAAAATATTAATTTTTTTAAAAAAATTAAGAATTACAATAATATAAATTTCTTAATTTATCCTTATTTTAAATTCATTAACAACATAAAAAATATAATTATAACAATTGATATTCTCAAAATAATATACTATCAAATGATAATTTTAAAAAATTAATCAGTATGTTTGGTATGGATTTTCAAGATTTATTTTTCAAAAAATTGAAATTTTTTATTTTCCGCATTTTTTGTTTTCACTATTTTTTTTTAATATTCTAAACAATATTTTTAATTTTTAGATACACCTTACATAAATACACTTAAAAAGTATAATATTTGTCAAAAAAATTTTAGAAAATTCACTAAATATCAAAAATACAAAAACAAAATATGAGAATTTAATACATTTTTCATATTCTTGTGTATTTATTATTTTTCAAAATATTTTTTTACAAATATTTTTCTTTTTATATATATCTAACTAAGGTGCATCTAAAAAGTAAAAAAATTGCTTAAAACTTTAAAAATATTTACTAAAAATAAAAAAATACGAAAAATAATTTTCATAAAGTTGAAATCAAACACGCTGAATATTTTTAAAGGATGATAATTTTACTAACAAAAAAAAAAGAGAGAGAGTTGGATTCTCCAAAAAGACTAATATTTTAGGACGGAGTGAGTAAGGTAACATGTTACATCTAATCCATCATCATTTTACTTTCTCTCACAATCATCAAATCAACTATAAAAAAAATTAGGATAAATTACAAATACACCTCTTGAGGTTTGTTTAAAATATGAATTGCTCCCTGTGATTTGAAAAATTACAAATACCTCCCTGTCATAATTTTTTGTTTAACAGAATTAATTGAAATACAAATACACCCCCTGAGGTTTGCTTAAAATACGAATTGCTCCATTTGATTTGGAAAATTACAAATACCTTCATGTCAGAACTTTTTATTTAATAGAATTAATTGAAAATGTGAAATTTCTAACTGTTCACCTATACAATAATAAAATTATCTAAATTATTAATTGAAATAAATTTTAACATTATTAAAAATTGTTAATTAACTTGATAATTTATTAATAAAAGAACCTATTTGTCATGAAATTAAAAATATTAAAGGGTATAATGTAATTTCTAAAATTACAAAGAATAATTTATAATTTAAATAAATCTTAAAAAATATATTTATAATTTACCAAAAAAATAACTTTTAAACATAATTTTTTAATTAAATTAAAATAATCCAAGAGTCAACTGCCCGAACGAGCCTATATATATTCTAAAAAATAGAAAAAAATTACCTAATAGTGACAAAAAAGAGGTCATTGTTGGACAGTGGAAAATCTTTCAAAATTACAATAGTAATGAGTTAAAAAAAAGTAATTATAAAAATAGAGAGAGAATGAATGAGATGGGTGCCATGGAAGAACAAAAAAATTATTGGTATTTTGTCTAATAAATTTTATTAAGAGGGGTTCAAAGTCAAAAACTACTCTTTCTGATGTCGGGGTTATTTTGTTACACTCTCTTCGAATCTTTGTTGTTAAACATTGTCCGTTTGTTGTTATTCGGTCAACTTTTATTCACGTGAGGGATTGTTGAAAAAAATAATAATTTTTTGGTAACTTTAATGCAATATTAAAATTGGTACCAATCCTCAATTGAGGTGGAGTAAAGTGGATTTAGATTCTTTATAGTGAGATCTTTACACCACAAAAAAATAGCCAAAAACTATTACAATTTGAATGAGAAATTAACTCATTAAGCCGGCCTCATGAAAAAGATGTTGGGAAATGTGTAAAACCTTGTATCCTACATTGATTGTAGATGAGCGCATTGATGGGTATCTAAATCCCATTTTTTGCCTAAGGATGTGAGCCCTTTGGGGCATCCAACTATGGTCTAAGTTGGTTATGAAAAAATTGCCACACGAGCTCGGCCCTTTCAGACCAATCCGAGTCCTTGATCCGTGGGTCATGGGTCGTGGATCCTGAATCTTGGGCTTGGGCTTAGGCGAATGGATTGAATGTGAAGGGTTGGGCTTGGCCCACCCGTCTTAATCTTTTTGGGCCAGGCCAGATTTGTGGGCTACAGAGATATATATATACACAAAACTTATGTGTATAGTTGGTAACTACTCTATTGATATTTGACTTAAACCCATCAATTTTACAGGTTAATGCAGAATTAAATTCTGTATTTGTTGCACGAGAGCCTCTTTCTCTCTCCTTCCATGTGTATAAAAGGAAACCCTCTCCTTCAACTTTCTACACCAGAAATTGTTGCTCTTCTCGTCTTCATAAGTTTTCCAGCTTTATATTATATTCTTCCTATGAGAGAGTGCTTATTCACCGAAGCTACTCAATCGGTGCATTGTTATAGCTGGTCCAACCGTTATATCTTGGGAGACAGATGTCAAACAACCTCCAGCACCCAACCGGTGAGGTGACGAATCTGTTTTAAGGACGCTGTCTAATGCAAGTTTCGGTTTGCTTCCTTTTGCTAATTTTATTTTATTATGAATTTCTGTAAATTCCGCCATGTTCTTGTTTTGAAATTTCAATTGTTTGTTCAATACTTGAGAAATTTAGTAAATCAGATACAAGTGTGTCGAAGACACTGGTAGACTTATGTTTACATTTGGCCAAGAATAATAGTAGAAATGTATTTCAACTAGTATATTCTCGGGTCATTGAAAGTTTAAAGTATCTGATGAGTTGTACAAGGCCAAGTATAGCCTACTTAGGTAGCAGGCTTAGTAGATACACTAGTAATCCCAATACTACTCATTGGAAGGGCATTATGCGAGTGTTGGATTATTTACACTACACCTGAGATTATGGGTTACATAACACTTGATATCTAGTTGTACTAGAAGGGTATAAATGCGCCTACTGGATATCCAAATATTGAAGATTGATAGAGTTACTGAGGAATAACAATCACGAGAGTAGGGAAGTTGCATGGTAGCAAACAGGGATTGAATGAGGTGTCGAAAAAGGACATGAATGGTGAAGAAGGCTATGAAGTAATAAAGAGAGGTTGGTGAGGGCTAAGATTGGCTAAAAATGAGTAGAGAAAAGTAGAGAGAATGGAGCGAAGGTGACCGAGTTATGGTTAAGGCTTATAAATAAAAATTAAATTAAAATTTTATAGGGCAAGTTGTAATAAATAAAAATAAAAATAAAAATAAAAATGGACTCCAAACATAAAAGATCCCGTTATTATCTTTCTTTATCTCTTTCTCCCAGTGGTGGCCGAATTAGAGATGATGTACGTAAATATGAGCCGTATACAAGTCGGCTCGTAATGGTAATCCTCGGGACGAGATTGCCGAGAAGATGGATGATGTAGGTTGATCATGGCCGAATAAAACCTAGCTTGAGGGCCGAATAGGACGTACAACCTGCGTAACAACTGGGGTCCCAGTTGTGAGGACAAGGTGTCCATGATAAGAAAGTGGGTCCGAGGAGAGTGATATAAAAAGGAGCAGCATACGGCAAAGTGAAGGAGGTAAAAAACAGATAACTTGAGAAATAAGAAAGACTTGAGAGGATATTAACTTGCCCGTCGGAATGCTAATTTTGGCACCCCCGACCGGAGTGTTCATTCCCATTTCAGGTACAAATTCAAGGATCAAGAGTCTGCTTGGGCCAAAAGGTGTTTCCAAACCACATTACCACACTCCCAAACATATCGATTTCATTAGAAACTGTCCACAGCAAACCACCATCTTAGCTTAATTTCTATCGTTTTTTACCACCACTTCCATTCACTACTGGAAATTAGAGTTTTAGAGGCGTTTAAAAAAAACCGTTACAGGTTCCAAAAACGCCGTTAAAATCCTTTTGTGGCGTTTATCACCAAACGTCGAAGATGCGGTCGCCGCTATAACTCTATGGCGCTTTAGAACGTCCCTATATTACTGTAGGTGGCGTTTTAGAAAAACGCCGCTAAAAGTTCTTCTAGCGGTAACGTGATGTCACCATTCTATTTAGAGACGTTTTTAAAACGCCGTTGTATCTCTTTTTCAAAACTCCAACTGTTGGTATGATATTTAGCGACGTTTTTAGAAACGCCGTAATAGCCCTTTCTTCTTTTCTTTTTTTTTTATATTGTGCAAATTTTATGTTATTGAACTAAAAAAATACCTATAAAAAAACTGAAAAATAGCGATAAATTTTTCGTAGTCAACCATATTCGATATAAGCACAGGCCCATAAGAACCAAATTGGAGATGGAAACAACCAAAGTGTCTGTTTGCCACTGGCTAACAATACCAAACCAGTGGCTCAAAGTGTCTCCAGGTCTGTCTATGGTTCTATCCACTTCCACTACAAAAACATTACAGACTGTATGCTCTTCTTGAACTCATAAAGAGTTGTAGTTCACAACTGAGATGAGTCAACTGCTCAGGATACATACTATTCTTGCAAAAACAGATCAAACCAATTTCAATTATAGAGATCATATATAACATATCTAAAGCTGTTATAGAAAATAGATTTAACAAAAGTCAACCCTTCTTGATTCAACACAGTTCTTCATCCCAACAAATCAAATTTAGTTGGTGAATGAAGCAACTTGTGATTCTACTATATTTTAGGTAAGCAACAAGATTTTTTTTTAATATTTCTCGTAAAAAAAATCCATTAATATACAGCAGCCTCTGGGCCTTGAGTTGAGGACAAATCATTGGTGACCACAGTTCAATTTTCATGTGAGATGATTGAAATCCTGTATTGTGGTTTGGGTTCTTGACCAAACCCCATCTGAACAATGCTTTGCAGATCATCATCACACAATGTTGGAAACTGAGGATTTCAAGTTGAGAAAAGCAGAATTAGATGATGAAAAACTTAAAAGGGCTGTGTAGTTGTATTTTAATTTCTATTTCAATGCTAAAAAACACAGAATTATTTCAAAAAACTCTTTACAAATTTTTATTTTATTTTATTTTATTTTTGGGTATTTCCAACTTTTCGTTGTTTTCCTTACTGAAACACGAAAAATGAAAACGGAGAAAACAAAGACAACACCAAATTCTTCAGGAATGGGCCAGCATTTGAATACCTGCGGAAGACCTTGGCCAAATTCATCGACCGGAGGTAATTGCATGCCGTTGTTTTGGCATAATGTGGTGCTTGTATGGTCCCCATTGGAAAGATCAGTATGTACTGGTGGAAATTCCTGGGTCTGTTGTCCAAAGAAAGCAGAAGCAGAGGAATCTAATGGGTATGTTTGATGAGGGAAAGAGCCATTAGGCTGAAATACCTGGAATTTACAACCAATTTTAGAAAAAAAACATCACAATAGATAAAAGAAATTGATTTTACAAGTTTCTATACTCACATCTTTTGACAAGAGACTATCCATGTTAAATTCCAACCTTGGATTCACAGAAGCTAACTTCATTGACAGAAACTACAAAATACAAAATGAATACACAATACCCATTAAGTCATAGAACTCAATTATGCAATCAAAATGAAACCCCATGGTATAGAACAAGTCCTAATTTACCTCGACTTCTTGTTGCAGTGACTGCACATAGTTTATAATTTCATCAAGCATAAGTGCTTTTCCATTCACCTACAAGTACAATGGAAAGAAAATTTCCAAGGCCAATTTAGTCATTGCCCAACAATGAATTCAAGCTCTACTATGGCTTAAATTTGTTGCAAAGCATTCTGTTACACACATCTTATTGCAACCTGGCACGAGGTCTTGGAGAAGCTTCATTCTTTCACTGATCTTCTCTCACTGATCTTCTCCCTTTGAACCTGCCCAAATACCCGAAAATCGCAACGTTAATGCTAAGCTAGCCGGGGAAGAATTGGAGCGAATGATGAGAGAATTGGGCTGTGATTCTTACTCTTTCAGCAAGGCTATGGCTATCAGTAGCTTGACCCCTTCTTGCTCTTACATGAATGTAGTCCTTTGGGGGCTCAGGAGGCTTCTGGTTAGCCTTTGTTTGTTTCTCATCCTCATCCCCGTTTTAACACTATCATTTTCGCTCCCACTGCCTTCATTGGGTTTGAATTGCTTGGTGTTCCGGTCATCCTCTGCCTCTGCTACCTGGAAGAACAGAATTGTTAGAATTCTCGACTGAATCAAAGAAAAAAGAAGTTAAAAGAGTGTGTTTATAATTTTTCTTGGTAATTCATATACCATTGTGGCATTGACAGAATTGGATTTTTCAACACCGTTTCGCCATTTGGGATTTTCTCAGAAACAGAGGAACCCTCATTAGAACTTGCAAATTCAGTTCGATCCGAGGTAGCAGACTCCAGAACTTTCCTGAATTTTGTGTCTGAGCCAATTGACGACCTCATTTCCATTTGGGTTTGTGTTGAATTCTTGTTTTCTTGAGCACCCACGGGAGATACAGCTACCTTGATAGAAGGACTACTCGAAACTCTCAGCAAAACCATTTGGGTATAGAATAATCTTATTGTAGTCCAGGTGAAAATTTATTTTTCGCAGTCTCCTGTTTAGATATCTCAATAACTTCTTCGGTTTCCATTTGACTCGTCCTTTGATGATGATTAAAGAGTTCGGGTTTCATCTCCAAGCAAGATTTCAGATCTTCCTCATTCTGAGCTTTATTCAACTTATCATGAAGATCACTTAAAGCCGAAACCCTCTCAGCCCGCCAAGATTTTCCCTTTTTTTGCATTCGACAAGTTCAACTTGCTTACTGGAATCATTGTCACCATTACCTAACTCAATTTTCTGAAGCTTCCTTAGTCCCTGATTGACAATGTCTTGCACTCTCTTTGTAACATTTTCACTCCTAGGGGGCCCATTATTGGTGGACCCTTCAGGTGTAGAATCCACAGTAAGCACCTCTTCGAGCAAACTAACGTTCTGCATGTACCGATCAAAAGCTACATTTTCCACTTCAACGTTTCCCTCCTTGTGTTCTTTCAACTTTAGAAACCTCCATTCATTAATAACCGCAGCATCCTGAAATTGCTTCCTAGATCAGGATTAACAACAAACAATATTACATGAGGAGAATAAATTAGTCATGTGTATGCACCTTTCTAGTCACTGTCTTCCTTGAACGAAGTGGGCCTCGCAAATTATTAAACTGGGCAAAATTGTTGGAGAGTTGCCGAAGTGAAGTAAATCTATGTGAATTCCTGAAAGACAATATAACTATTTAAGAAACAACACTGTTTTGAACAAGGACAAATGTCAAAACCTTTTTTATCTTTTCTTTTTGACAAATACAAATGTCAAAACCTTTTAAGCACTAAACTCAAAACCAAACCAAGCCAAACTTACAGCTAACAAGTAAGCATGTCAATGTGCTAGGGAACTGAAAACAGAAAAGCATTAAGACAATGCCATGGATGATTGAGATGTGATGAAAAAAAACAAGACAGAAGGTTGGAAATTTTTGTGTTCAAAGAACAAAAACAAACTTCATAGAATTTCAATAATGAGTCTCTCATTTAAGGGTAATCAAATACAGGGATTTTACAAAGCTCAAGACTCATTCCTGGTCATTTGTGAATGAACACTTTCCCTTCACCTTCAGTGACTCCCTAACAATTACAGACACCAGCATAACAAAAAAATATGTATGTGGGGGGACCAGAAAAGCACTGTTTTCCACATTTTAGATAGCTCTCACCAAGTGAAATGAGCCAAATGATAGAAAAGCAATGCATGTGTTTAGAACACAAACAATTTTTCCTGGTTATAAGCTTCTAAGCATTATGTAAATGATAACGATAACATCATAAACTCGATCAAAAATATCATCTGAGATCTCTGAAGAACATTAACTTACCCAGAGGAAGATGTGTCAGTTGATTGCTGATCAAACAAAGAAGAGCTAGACGATGGTATCTTGTCTGGAAAAGTTGCAGTCCTTGTCAACACTGCAATCACAATCCAAAAGGAGTCATGCCCGTTAAAGTAGGACATCATGAAAACAAATAACTGAAATCTTTAAACCAGCCTTACATTGGAACTCTCTTAATACTCGCTCATAAATAGCAACTCTTTGAAGCTTTATTTCACTAATGAAATGAGACAGAAACCCTCCACGATTCCAATGCCTTGTGTTAAAACCTATCACCTACTTCACCCACTTAAACCTACTCCACTAAACCTAACCCACTACACCACTACCACCTCACCTACTCCACTAAACCCACTACACCACTACCACCTCCACTTAATGTATATCAAGCTCCAACATTTGCATGTTGAGACTCTATTTGGAAACTTATTATGCCTCACTGCAGGTAACCACTCTTTATCCTTGGCAGCGAGCAAAACAAACTCTGAATACCCGTAAATTGGTAAGGTGAGTGTTCACTATGAACACCCTGTCTTTAGCCCTGAATCAGTTTTCACTTTTCTTTAGACTTCAGAGTTCATAATGCTCGAGTATTAAGCCAGGATATTCCCATCTCAATTGAATCAGAACTGATCCATACTTATAGTTGGGATCACCCCAAGTAAATTGTCAATCTTTGCAAGAAAAATATATGTACTTCCCTGCCATTACAGAATGAACAAGAGGTTGCAATGCCAGATACTTGCAACCAACTTGACACTTAAAACTGTGTACCAGGTAAATGGTGCTTTGTCAAGATAAATGTACAACAGTTACTGCAATATAGACTCCGAGCAGGGTTATCAGGTCCAGACATCCATGCAAAGCACAAATACAATTATTCCAATACATCATGCCCAAACATTCTTCACGACAACCTCAGAATGTAATGTTTGCATACCGTGTATGTGACATGGATTTTGAGCTTTTGCACAGCAACTCTTGCATGACTGATATGGGCACCTGCACAGTAAATCCAGCTCATCAATTAGTCTTGAAGGGACAAAGATACCATTTCCATGCACATGTCAGATATTCAAATACTCATGTACAAAAATTTAATGTTCATGTGCAAAATGCACATATAGTAACTACATAATGAATTGATATTTTTTTTTAATTATTTAAAAATTAAAAAATAAATAAAACACAATCATAAACCATGGTCTCAACAATCCCCGATAAACAAGCAATTAATGGTGCAATTTGCATCATGACATTGTCTTCAATATCCAATCACCTGTTACCAAAAAGAAAAGAAGCCAGCATATCAGCCCAGACATGGAGCAGTTCCTAGGGTTCATACACTCAAAGAACTCTCCCAACACGTAGGGTTCATACTCAACTCCACAGTGGGTGTATGATACATTTCTCGAGTATTTGAGTAGAGATGCACCTTTCACATTTTCTTTCTTAGTCTCCTCAATTATTTCACCTTTCTAAGGCTAAAAATGCCCCCAATTTTGACTATTCTGTTATGTTCAAATTGTTGTATGCTAGAACTTCAATTTCTTAAGAAATCAAAACAACCATGGCATCTGCGAGCCTAACACTATTGTAGATATTTTTCCTTTACCAATAATAATAATAATATATATATATACATATCTACAAAGTATAAGCATTGAGAAGAAGGATAACATTTTCCTTGTATCACTTGCCTCAAGGAAGCCATATCCACCTATGGGTAATCTCACCTTTCTTTCCATGTGTTCACCCTCCCCTTCCCAAACTAAAGCACAGCACAGAGAGGGGATTCTCAACCTTTTAAAATTCATGGAAAAGAGCAATACCAATATCACCAAAAGAAGATGACAGCCCCAACATTCCAACTAGATAAACAGCACAAAGATACAAAATTTCAATGATCTTTAGGGGGTGTTTGGGAAGTGGCTATTTTAGTTAACTTTTTTGCATTTTATGAAAGACATGCAAAAAAATAGTAAGACTGATGTTATTGGGTGTTTTGACTTTTTGACTATGTTTAGCGAAAAAGCAACCACCCCAAACAGGCCTCAGTGATGGAAGGCTATCTATGTTCCCTCCTTTTTAGTTCTCTTTTTCATTTTTATTTTTACACCTGTCTTCCTTTGGTTGGTTTCAAGTCACACAAAGTAGTCTATGATATTATATGCCAAAAAAAAAACTTGAGAACTTCATTTTATATACACACTAGTTCCATGTCATGTCACACCTCAACTTCTTTTTTTCTGATATGGGATCAATTTGCTTTACAAACAACACCAATGGTCCTGAATCTCAGATTATTTAGCTCCTGTACAAACTATTAGGCAAATCATAGTTTTCTGAACAAAAATTCATCCTTTTTTTGTTTTTTGTTTTTTGTTCAAATCCCAATAATTGGGTAAGTCCATTACCTATCATGGTATTGTAAATTAGCTTCACATCCCTCAGATATGCAATAAACTTTGATTTGTTTAACTCATAGCTGTTTCAATACAATACCCAAAAACAACAAAAACAAAATCAAAACAGAAAATTCTATGAACATAAACGAATCCACTTTACTCGAATCAACACTTAAACAAATCCTCAATGTACTATATAGTTGAGGCCTAGTTTAAATTTCAAATTTCAAATTCTGTAACTTCTTCAGTTTTTTTTCCCCACATATATTTTTTATTTTCATATCACCCATCAGGTGTGCACACATTCTAGTACACACACACACACACACATATATATATATATATATATGTATAGAGCTCAATATAGTGGATTACCCAGAAGTATTCTGTACAAGATTGAACTTAAAGTCGAATCATCTATAAGTGAAATCAATTCGGAGGTTGAAGAAGAAGAGAACGAAGTGGGGCAATGTTACCTAGGGCAAAGATGAGTGGTTGGAGGAGGAGCAATTGGCAAGCGAAGACGAAATAGAGTCCAAAGGTGCAGCTCAGCTCCAGGTTAGCTCAACTCAGCACGTGGGTGTTCATAATGTACCAATCACAAGTTGCACAAAATTGTCAAAGCTATTCAACAACACAAAAGAGAGAAGAAAAAGGGTCAGCTCAGCTCATCAGGATAAGTGGACCACCTCAGAAGGAAATTATTACCTATGAAGCACGGACACGGACACGGACACGCGACACGACACGGACACGCAAAAACGCAAATTTTCAAAAAATAGAGGACACGACACGCCGGGGACACGTTCAATATATATAATTAATTTTATTTATTATATGTCATAAAATTATTAAAAAAAATCAAATAAAGGTAATAAAATACACAAAATAACACTATTAAAATTATAAAAAATAAACATTTAATTGATTTAACATCATATATATCGTTCACAATTAACATAAAATAGCATTCCATCAATACATAACATGTCATTCGAAGCTACCAACCATCATTTGTTACAAAATACATGAAAATCAAACCACAAAATATAAAATTATCCAATGTACCAACAACTATTACAAAATCCATAAATATCAACCTAAGTAGAGGAAACTATTATAACATCTTCATCACCGCCTCCATCTTCTCCTTCATCTGTAAATAGGACCGCCTCCATAGCTGGTTCATCAAGTGAGAGGTTAGCTATCCCAAGCATTCCAATATCATCAAGTGAGTCAAAGTTATCTCCGGCAATGTCCCACATTTTTGTCTCTCCTTGCAAGTATTGGGAGCTCCTCCTTGATAAAAGACGAAGATTGCTATGAATGAACACCAAATCCTCCGCACGTTGAGGGACCATCTTGTTCCTTCTCACTGAGTGAATAAAGGAGTAAGTACTCTAATTTCTCTCACAACAAGATGAAGAGGCAGGTTGCACAAGCAATCTCAAAGCTAGTTTTTGAAGAGATGGTGCATATGCACCATATGCACACCACCAAGTATAAGGATCCATGTGCCACCTATTATGAATGGAATCATACTCTGAGAATGCTTCAACATAACCCGAAAATTTTCCAAACTCAGTTATCACTTTGGTTCGCTCCGTGATATCTTCAAAATACCTCTTAAAACACTTGTTCCTCTCACGTGTCACCTCCTCATCCCTATGTGGAGGAACTCTATTTTGATCCTCATGGAGCCACTCATCACTATAATACCTACAATCCAAAATAAGAAAAATAATTATTTCAAGAAAGACTAGATAAGTCCATTAAAATGAAATATCTAAAACAAATTTAAATGTGGTACTTACTTTGGATTCAATGAATGTGCCATACAATGGAGAGGAGTATTGTTTTTATTCCAACGATCCACGAGAATTTGATGCACCACATTGTAAAATGTAGATTCCTCATCTATTCTTTTCCCTTCATGCCTATAAATTGACATCTTCACTTTCTCTATCATTGAATCCCACATATCATATACTAAGTGAAGGCAAGGTTTGTCCGTATCACAAGCCCTAAGCATGTCATATATAGGACCCGTGAAGGAAAGAATATAATCAATGTAATCCCACCACACATCATCCAAAATCTTTTCTTTCACAAATTTTGCCTTCCCAACATCATCCTCTCTATAGCAATTCCACTTGTCACTAATTACCATTGCTTGAAGACCACGTTTTTAAAGCTTTAACCTCTTGAGCATAACAATTGTGGAGGCAAATCGTGTTTCGGCATCCGAAAGCAACTTCAATGACACAAATTCATTGTACATAGCCAATCGCATTGAGTGATTAGAGATAAAATTCTTAATCATCAAACCATCTCCGGCAATATCACTAATCCAACGACATTCTTCATATGTGACTTCATTCCTCTCAATATTCTTTGCGGCACAAATATTTTTCAAAGCTAGATTTAATGTGTGCACCACACAAGGAGTCCATAGAATATGAGGGAATTGAGCTTCAATGAGTTGTCCGGCTGCCTTACAATTAGGAGCATTATCCGTGATGACTTGAACCACATTACTTGGCCCAGCCTCATTAATCACTTCTTTCATCAAATTTGTAATGAAATATTTGTCTTTAGTTTCTCCAGAACAATCAACTGCTTTAATGAACATAGGCCCACTTTCACTCACTGCCATAAAATTAATCAAAGGCCTCCTTTGAGAATCACTCCAACCATCACTAACAATGCTCACCCCTTTTTCCTTCCATGTGCCCCTAATTGGTTGCAACAATTTATCAATATTTGCCCTCTCTTTTTCAAGTAATGTGGTTCGTAACAAATTATAACCGGGAGGCAAATATCCAGGAATATAATGATTTGCAGCAAATGTGTAAGAGTTAACATAGTAAGGATTTCTTGCAAGATTAAAAGGTACCCCCCGAGTAGAACATCCTAGCAATTTCAAAATGCAATTGCTCTCTATCCTTCAAGTTGAATGCTTTCTCAATAGCACTCTCACTCCCACTCCCACTCCCACTCTCACATGTTCTTCTCTTCTTTGATTCATAAGCATAACTACTACCCACTAATACAGTGGAAGGAGGCAATGGTACATTTTTGGGAAGAGCATTTTTAATTCTCAACTCAGCAGCATCATTCTCATTTTGCAGTTGTGAAAGTTTTTGACTTGTCACTTCTTACAAGCACCAATTCCCTTTCCTGGGAGTTTTAACAAGTGTGCCCTTACTCTTGTATATGAACCTTTGAAAGTATCATTACAAAATTTACATTGTAATTGGCAATTTCCTCCTCCTTCCCCAGGTTTTGCTAATTTAGTTATATACTTCCACAATGGTTTATTCTCATCAAAATCATCATCAGGTATATCATTAGAACTACCACCCGTAGCCATTGTTTCAGAATTAATAATTGGTCCCTATAATAAAATTAATAAACATACATTATTAAAATTATATCCTCAAATAATAGAAAAGAAAAAATAAAATCAGAATATAAAAAAAATAAAAGAAAAGAAAAAATAAAATAAAACAAAATCAGAATTTTGTCTTTTGGGGGTAAATTACACAAATCAATATGGATTCTTTTCAATAAAAAATCTTTCTCCATTTCAATTATAACAATAATTATTTGAATATGTAAACCCCATTATAGAATTTGTTACACAGATATATAATGGTTTTTTTATTTTATTTTTTTGCTTCTATAGGTTGTTTATAGAGAATTATCAGGAAATTATCATGCTTTAATTTTTTATTTAATGTATTTAATGAAAAATTGAAATTTTGATAGAGCTCGACACTGCTCCGAATAGAACGACAACAGGGGGAAGATGGATAGATAGCAATATCAACAAATTTTTAATAAATACTACCCCTTTTATACACTTCACAATCATATTCTAGAAATTTTAATAAGAAAGAGGTTTAAATATCTCTATTATCTACAAATCGTTTTTTGAAGAATGGAATAATACATGAAAGTTTTAGTTTAAGCAAAATTTTACTTTGATTATCGTAGTTTTAATTTGAACAATTTAAACACCACATTTTTAATTTGGTTGTAATGTAATCCCTTTGTCACTTGCCGTTAGAATTTTAAATGAAAAAAATCGTGTGCAAAACTACAAGATGCAAGTGGAATTCAAAAGAAATTATATGGACCATCGCTATCATAAATAAATTACACTAATGGTCTTATATATATATATATATATTTTTTGTTTAAATTTCACATTAGTCTCTCTAATTTTGCAGATGATATTTTTATGTTTAGAATGTTAACAACGCATAATGAAAGGATTATATTGCAACAAAATTAAAAGTGTAAGATTTATATTATTCAAATTGAAATAATGGAAACTAAAACAACATTTTGTTTAAACTAAAAAAAAAAAAACTAATGGTATAATTTAAACTTAAAAAAGGTTACATACAGTGGCAGAGAGTCGGGACTTTTTGTCAAGAATGCAAAACTAAGCAAATGGTCAATTCTAATGATACAGTACCACTTCAAAAATTTCCATTTTTTGCGATGGCAAAATGCCGTCGCAAATACTCATTATGCCGTTTCAAAAAACTTTTAGCAACAACAAATGACTTTTAGCGACGGTAAATGGGGGGTCACAATAGAGGGTGTTGCAAAAACTTTTTAGCGATGGCATCATGCCGTCACCATTTTTTTTGCGACGACATATGTTACTATTTGTGATGGAATTTTACTGTCACCAATAATGTGTAAAAATAGAGATCTTTTTGCGACGGCACTGTTTTACTGTCGCCAAAAGTATTATTTGAGACGGTAGAAATTGCCATCACAAATTTTTTTTTTTTTTTTTGCAACGGCATTAGTTGCCGACACAAAAAGGTCTAATTTTTTGCATCGGCACAAATTTACCGACGCAAAAGAGCTATGCCGACGCAAAAGATTCAACCGACTCAAGTAATGCTATCAAATATTAATTTTTTGTGTCGGCCAACGGTGCCGACGCTAAAGTGTTGGTATTTGCGTCGGTAATTCTGTGCCGTCTCAAAAAGACTAACTTTTGCTACGGTAAAACTTGTCGACTCAAAAAATCGACTCAAAAGGCCGTTTCTTTAGTAGTGGTTTCAATAAGTCCTATGGGTGACGACATAATTACCAAAATACCCCTAATGTGAATGTTCACACCGTCAATGTGAATGTTCATATCGTCAATGTGTAGGGGCCCGACCCATGTACAATGTGAATATTCACATTAACATGTTAACATTCACATTGATAGGAGTGCAAAATTAGCCCGCGGCCTTTGGGTAGCTCGGGGCGAACCCGGTCCTGCCCGTGACAATGTGAATTGTTAGAATTTACCTACACCTACCACCACCTACTACCACACCTACTACACCTACCACCAATTTACCCTCACCTACTCCTCACCTACTACCCAAACCCTCTCCTATATAATGAGCTACTCTGCTTTGTAATATAACACATCAATGTATCAGATCAATCATAAACTCATCAATCAATAATACATAAATTTCTACAGTCCCTATAATAAAATTAATAAATATACATTATTAAAATTATATCCTCAAATAATAGAAAAGAAAAAATAAAATCAGAATATAAAAAAAAAGAAAAGAAAAGAAAAAATAAAATAAAACAAAATCAAAATTAAAGAAAAAGAAAAGAAAAAATTAAATTAATAAAAGAAAAAAAATAAAATAAAATAAAATAAAATAAAATTCAGAATCAATATAAAAGAAAAAAAATAAAAGAAAAAAATAAAATAAGGGCGAGGCGAAGTCAATTGAGAGGAAAGAAGAGGCTGAGACAGAGAGAGAGAGAGAGCTATCGAAGAGAGAGAGAGAGCGATCGAAGAAGAGTCGTACCTTAACGAAGCAGAAAAGCGATTGAAGATCGCAGATCGAACAAAGAAGATCGAAGACCGATGACAGACGATCGACGACAGACGGCCGACGAGGAGCAACGATCGACGAGAGAAGACGAACGACGAAGTCAGGTCCTCTCTCTTTCTCTCTTTCTCACCCTATCTTCTATTTGAAAGTCAATTCGAAGCAGATTAGGGCGAATGGTAGATTAGGGCAAATTTGATCTGTTTTAGCTTATTTTCAAATCGACCCCAAAAAAATTCAGTAAATTGTGAAATTGCCCCCGAGCGTGTCCCAAACGTGTCTATAGCGTGTCCAAAATGTGTCCGGATGTAAAAAAATTTAAAAAAAAAAATGGGACACTCTCCCATGCGTGTCGGACACGTGTCCACCGCGTGTCCGTGTCCGACACGCGTCTGACACTGGTATGGAACCCTCGGAGAGGTGTCCGTGCTTCATAGATTATTACTATATTGAAGTCTGATACATGAGAAAATAATTAAAATGGTCAAAGTATCCAAAGGTGATGAAATTTAATAACAACATAAAAAATAAAACAAAAAAAATCCTAACCCAAAAACTGTCTTGAGAAGTCTAACCATATCCCCCAAAATCATAACTTTAAAAGCAAAAGAAGAAACCAAAAACCAAAAACATTGAAACCAATTCCAGTGAGTCAACAGTTGAATTCTATTTTACTAATTACAGCAAAGGCAGACAGTAAGAAGATGCCCATGAAGAGCTCTGCAGTAGAGTCCTTGAAATAAAATAAAATAAATACACTCGAAACAATTTCATTGTTTTCCTCAAAAAACTTTAAATGTCATTATTTCAATAACAATATATTATATCATTTTCCATAGAACTCAGAGATTCCCTCTAAAAAAAATTAAAAACAGAGTGATTAACAAAACTAGACAGTTAATTTGAATGTTATTTTGGGGTGTGGTTTTAATTTGCAACCACCATACCTATACCTTCACCATGTGCCAAATTTTGTGGGTTTGTTGCGCATATTGTTTTGCTGTTCTGGTGACGAAATCTCCTAACTGGTCTTCTGGTTTTTGATGATACAAAAAATGCACAAATATGATAATGACATCCAAAAACTTATTTCACATTTTTTATTCTCCTTTTACAAGTCCACAAAAACTGTTACGCGAAGTTCTTGGTAATTCCTAGTTTCCTGTCCTCTGCACTACACGATTACAGTAAAACATACAAACAGACAAAAACTTTCAGACTAACATTTTTCAACATACAAAACCCAAAATTCATGAGAAAAGAGGCTTTAAACGAGCAGAGACAATGAAAACATCCCAATTGTAAGCACAACACTTAAACATACAACACAAATCTGACTAATTGTAAGTTATATAGAGTTGACCAATTCAGATGAATTGAGACTAGCATTTATTTATGTTTAAAATATACATAAAATGGCAATTCCATAGAAGAGAGAGGATGTTAGAATTTATCTCCACCTACCACCTCCACTATCACACACTCCACACCTACCACCTCCACTATCACACACTCCACCTACCACCTCCACTTCACTCCTACACCTACTACCACATTTTCTTCTATATATAGGAATTGTAAATATATCAACAATAAATCAAAAATCAATCAATAATACATCAGTTCTCTTACATGGTATCAGAGCAATAAGATTTAGGCCTATATTCCTTTTTTTTCCGGCGGGCAGTCGGCTGGCACCCATGCCTTTGCTGCCCGCTGGAATTTTCAACACCTCCACAGAGTATGGCTCAATCCCAAGCTTACTTCCATCAAACACAGAAGTTCCAATTGCCACGGATAGCCCACCAAAATACCACCACCTTCTTCAACCCTTCCTGTCCGAACCGGCCTCCTCTCCTTCACTTCTCTCGCCGACAACGTCAAGTGGCGCTGAAGAGAATAGAGAACAAGATCAATCGGCCAGTGACTTTCTCGAAAAGGCGTTCTGGGTTGCTGAAGAACGCTCACGAGATCTCTGTCCTTTGCGACGCCGATGTCGGTCTCATCATCTTCTCCGCCAAAGGCAAGCTCTTCGAGTACTCCACCACTTCCTGTATGGAAAGAATCCTTGAACGATATGAGAGATATTCATATGCAGAAAGGCAGCTTGTTGCAGCCGATATTGATTCACAGGTACGCTGGACTCTGGAACACGTGAAACTCCAGGCCAGGCTAGAGGTTCTAGACAGAACCCAAAGGCATTTTATGGGAGAAGACCTTGATACATTGAGTGTCAAAGAACTTCAGAGTTTGGAGCACCAGCTTGACTCTGCTCTTAAACATATAAGATCAAGAAAGAATCAACTAATGAATGACTCCATCTCCGAGCTTCAGACAAAGGATAAGGCACTGCTGGAGGAAAACAAATTGCTTGCAAAGAAGATTAAGGAAAAGGAGGGGAAGGCTCTTGCCCGACATGCACAATTGGAGCAGCAAAACCAAGACCCAGCTCAGATTCGGTTTACACCTCTCTCTCTCCGCAAAACCCACCATTTGTTTTTTAACCCACTTCCTCTCTCCACTCAAGGACATGCACATCTTTGTCCACTTTTCAACCCTTTCCTTCCTCTTTTTGCACCCCACTCACAGATTCACACACCATCACTAGTTTTTCAAATCATTATTTTATGTTTTATTTTTTCTTTTTGATCATTACACCATTGCCCCAACATCCTCCACTCACAAATATTCTCCCTTTTCTTTCTCTATTTTTTATTCTTATTATTATTATTAAACACAACAAAAACAAACCACCCCCGACACACCCACTATCTCTTACAATCATTTATCATTTTTTTTTTCCACCCACTATCTTTTAATATGTAAACATATACATAGATATACATTGACTTCAATTTCTTTTCTTTTCTCTCTTTTCTTTTCTTTTCTATCTATCATATATATTATTATTATTATTATTATTATTATTATTAAAAAATAAATAAATAAATAAATAAAAAAATAAAAAATAAAAATAAAAATAAAAACCAAAAACCAACACAATTTACCAATCTGCACAACAACTCATATTTTATTCATCTCAGGGATCAACCCTGATCGAAAAAAAAAAAAAACAAACAAACCCACAAACAAACAAACCACCACAGCACACCCACACCCACAGTGGGATTTTTCTTCTCTACTCTGCCGCCGATCTCTTCTTTTTGCCTCCGTCCTGGGCAGTCCTTGACGGTGTTGCCTCCGTGTTTCCCATGCCACCGAGCACATTCAATCCCCCCTGCTCCTCCACTGCAGCATATGGAGGACCTCCAAATCGAAACATCACGGTGGCCTTCCGCTTCAGCTCCTTGTTTTCTGCCTTTAGCACACTGATCTCTGCTCGCGCATCCTTATACATGCGTTGG